CGAGTGCCGAACCCTGGGTCCTGAGTCCCGAATTTCGGAGGTCAGGGTTCGGCGGCCCGGAGCTCGGCAACTGTATTTAAAGCATTGGAGATAGCATTTGTCAGTATTTTCCATTTCATGGTTCATGTTTCGTGGTTATGGAATCGGGCGTCAGGGACTCGGTATTCAGAACAGTGTCGAGTCCGGAGTCCACAATGTCAGGGCTCAGGGTTTTGTCAAATGTGTATGGCAATAACAAATGTTAATTCGAGCGTATTTATACATCTTCCCCCAGTCTCAAATATCACATGCTGAGGTCTGGGTGTTGGGACTCAGTAACCTGGCACCTGGGACTCCCATATGTCAAGTCACGAGTTCCAATTATCGAATACCGAGGCTTGCATCCAAATTATTCAGTCCCACATATCACTTTGCAAATGCTCAAAATTGAGTATTGAGGTCCGGATAACTATTGGTACATGGTATTCATTTGTTGGAATGTATATAGGTCACAATGCTTGCTCTTTGTTTGATCTTTCACACGCTGTATGGACCATCCACACTAGCCCATCCACATGATGGAACACCAGCGTAAATGTGAACAGCATCCCTCATATACCATGCCCAAGCAATCTGATCCCCTTCCACATCATAAACTCCATGTCTCACAATCCTTCCGGAAAACACAATCATACAGCCGGAATTGTACTTGAACTCCAGCTGAAGGCTTGGCATTGTCATCCGAGCATTAGAATAGTTCCCCACGGTGGTGAGAATGTCGAAGCATTCAGCAATGGACATGTGGTCTTGATGATGGGGGGTTTCCCGATTGGAAATGATGGAGAGGGTGTTAAACACAGATGCCCAGTACTACAGGGCCTCCGGCATCTGTGGTAGATCCTTGCTTACTGCTATATTTCCAAGGTTTGACAAGGTTCTCAATCCTGCCCAGTACTGCTCAGGATGCATGACTCTGAGTGCCGCAGACGCGATGGCTGCTGGCCTTGCAATGGCTTTGAGAATATTCTCACAGGAAGGTCCCTTCAATGATGCAGATACCTCCGGATCTGACACATTCTTTGAGATTGGTGAGTATGACTGCCGGAATCACCATCCCATCAGATCCTACCTCATGTCCCTGTTGAAACCATGCCGGAGATAGATTGATGCATCTGGGAGTTGGTCCAACATCTTCCAAGCCCCGGTTGAACAATGTTTGATTAGTTCGCCAATTGCCATCAGCCCTTACACTTTTTTCCAGGCTTGGAGTGAGCAAATTGGTGGCCTCCCTGATTTCCTTCTGTAGGTTCCATTAATATTCAATATCCATTGAGTAACAATGTATATTACACACCTGGGTGGTGTCGGTCAGGGCGTCTGGGAGGTACCATGCAATGATGGCACCGGATGCATTGAGAATTGTGGCAGGTTCGTTGACCAACCTTTTGCCTTCATGGCCAGGAGGACACCTCTCAAGCAACCTCGCCTCTCTATGTTCATTATGCCTGGTGTCCTTCGGGGAGATCAATTTGCTATATCTTGCAATATCCATCTGCATCTAAACTGTCATGCAGGAATTTGAATGATAAAATGAATTTTCTGAATCTGCACGAAGACCCACTGAGATTTTTATATGCCTTTATGAGTACATCAGCCAAGCGATCGCACGCCATCACCAGATCAGTGTCTAGGTTGGGGGAAGGTATGACTGGGCCTCCTCCAGTCTTCTCTGCCTTGAATTCCTGTTTGGTATATCCCCATGCTTCATAAGTCACAGTCAGGGCCCAAGTGCACCAGATGTTTATGCTATCAGGAGGGGAAGGGGAAGAACCGTTCATGCTGGATGTTAATCTTGGGAAATCAGACGCTGAATGCTGGATGTCCGGACTTTGGTGTTATAGGGGGTGGAGATAGAAAGGATCAGATAAAGGAGCCTGGGATAATTTTGGCTGTCAAAGCTGTATTATTATCCATTGCTCAATGAAATACTACCTGTTTGGAAGTGTGCTGGTCATCAGATATTCATTTGTCGATTCATGGGTCCCAGAACTTGGAAGTCGGTACGGTTGACCCATATTTGGGTGGTCGGAATTTGGCGTCTCATAGGGCAACACAAGCTTCGCACAGCCATGTCAGGAGATCACCTGCTGCTCCGGGAACTCGGTAACTTTGATTTATTACCTCATCTGAGTACGGTTGACTCACATTTTGGTGGTCGGAACTTGGCTTCTCGTAGGGCAACACAAGCTTTGCACCCCAGATTCCACATTCTGCAAGACAACCTAAGCACCATCAAAGGCCATGTCAAAAGAGCACCTGCTGCTCTCTTCAGAAACATCTCAACTTCGGTTGGCCATTTAACACGGAAAGTATTAACCAAATTATGTGTTGGGTTCCGGGTCCCGGAACTCGGTACAGTTGATTCAAATTCTGGTGGTCGGAACTTGGCTTCTCATAGGGCAACACAAGCCTCGCACCCCAGATTCCACATTCTGCAAGACAACCTGTGCACCATCAAAAAGTATTAATTAAATTATGTGTTGAGTTCTGGGTCCCGGAACTTGGAACTCGGAACTTGGTACAGTTGACTCAAATTCTGGTGGTCAGAACTTGGCGTCTCGTAGGGCAACACAAGCTTTGCACCGCCATGTCAGGAGATCACCTGATGCTCTGGGAACTTGGTAACTTTGATTTATTACCTCCTCTGATTTGGTTGATGTACAACTACCTCAGCTCCATCATGTCTACAATTATGATACACATGGGCCCACTCATCTATATTTTATACCACCCTCGGCCCACCCATCTAATACAACATCCCATACAACACCCTCGGCCCACCGGTCTAATTAATATGCATCTGGGCCCACCCGTATAATACAATATTTTATAATACCCTCGGCCCACCTGTCTAATACAATATTTTATGATACCCTTGGCCCACCCATCTAATTTAATATGTGTCTGGGCCCACCCATGAATGTGATAACAAGTACCTACCCATCTATCTCATACACATCTACCTTAATACACCCATCTGCATAATATCCAACTACCTCGGCCCACCCGTCTACCTAATATTCATGTACATCGGCCCACTCATCTATTCTATATATTCCCTGCATGGGCCCACCCACCTCCATCAGGAATAATTTGCCTCCCGGCCCATCCGTCATAGTCGAGGATATTGTTATCCTGGGCCCATGGTCCACTGGCCCGTATCATACGGGATATTATGCATGTCCGTTCCCTCATATTATACGGAGATAGGTCACTGTAATATGTGGTATGCTTATTCAATCACTTGATACATATGATGTCCAAGCTAAGGTAAGGTCTGGTCTCTACTATTTAATGGTAAAGCTAATGGTTTGCTTTGTGCAGGTTGGATGGATGACTTCCGACAACGCAAGCAACAACAATACAGCAATGCAGGAAGTTGCTCGCAAAATTGATCCAGAAGATGTCCGATGGATACCTGCCACACACCGCATTAGATGCCAGGAACACATCCTGAACCTCGTGGCATGACACTTTGTAGAGAAGGCCTGCAAAGAGGAGAACGTACCCAAGCTTAAGTTATTGCAGTGGATTAGAACTCATTGGGCTTCCTTATACAAATGTCTCGACCGCATGCTACTCTTATGTCGGGTACATTTTTTTTCTATTCAGTGTTCGTGAATCTGACATTTATATTTTAACCAGGCTGTCAACCATTTCACCAATCTCGCTGACGAAAGCAAAGAGGTGCCGAATCTTCACAACAAGTCTTACAATGATTTCAAGCTCGGCCGGAGTGACTGGAGACACCTCAGACTCATTCATCAAGTCCTGAAGGAGCCAGCTACCGCCCAGCAAACTTTCTCCTCCGCAAATTACCTATCTCCCGCCTCATATGAAAAACTTCACTTCCCTCCCATCTTTCCCTCCTATTGTACCTACTACCTCCTTCCCTCTTCACCGCCTCGTATGAAAAACTTCACTTCCCTCCCATCTTTCTGTGCCCGCCTCTGATATACTGATATAACTACAGTCCTTGACCCCAACTATAAGCTTGCTTATGTTGAAGAACAGTGGGACAGTCAAGACGTTGCAGATGGGAGGGCTCACCTCGAGACTGTCGTAAGTATTTGTTCAGACTCATCATTGTACTTTGGCTTACATTCTTCTACAGTTTGACGAGTACTATAAACCACCAACTCGGACGCCTGTCAATGAACCTGCTCCGCCAACAAGACCCTTGCTGGAAAACCAGTACGGCGATGCATGGATGCGTGAGGCCATTAAGGCGCGTCAAGCTGCAGACCAACTTGCTCGCAATCCTCGTCAAGAACTCACTGCATATCTGTCTTCACCACTAGAGGAAGCCAACGACATTGTTGCCTGGTGGAGGCTTCATTCTTTACAATTCCCTATGCTAGCATGTATTGCATGCAATTATTTGCCCATCCAGGGCAGCTCCGTCCCCTCCAAACAGGCTTTCTCAAGTGGAGGGATCACCTCCACCGTGCGACACAATGCGCTCGCATCATCCAAGTTTGGCTCATTACAGTTGTTAAAGGCGGAGTATAGGAATGGCCATGTTTCCGTGACAGTCGAGGCAGAAGCTGTGTAGTTGGATGTGTAGCTATGAGTACCTACCTATGTTTTTTTTTTGCTCATTGTAAATAAAATTGGTTCGGTTCACGTTCAAACCTGAAATTAACCGGACCTGACCATTCTGAACCGTTCGCCAAGGTCCAGTTCGAGGTTTGTTGAGTCTGGTAGAACCGGACCTAGGTCCAGTTCTCGGTTCTCGTCAAACTGCCTCTGAACCGGACCAAACCAGACCATGGCAGCACTAATCACCATGTGTTCTACAATAATTCCAAGAATTCTCAAGCACCTGTTCAGACTCAGCTTGCTGTCACACTTTATTGAATGGGTCGTTATGGAAATGGAGGATCTCTATAGGACATTGCAAGTCATGCAGGGATTGCGGAGGGTACAGTTGAGTTATATACAGAGCGATGCTTTACTGACTAGTTGCCATCAGTATCATCATTGACACCTTCACCAGTGGTATGAAGGCGTGTGGCTAGTTCCTTGTATTTCTTAGTCAAGCTACAAGCATGGTACAAGATTACAGGAAAATATATTATAGGAGACTTAGACACTTACTGCTCGTACTTGCGCTTGACATGGTCCCCAGTAACAGTGGGATTAAGGCCATGGAACTGCGGGAATATCACAGCAGCCATGCACTGATATACAGTGGCCTTGCTGTCGCCCGAAGTATTCTGCCAATTTTGAGCTATCTCTGAGACATGCTAACATGGTTAATCAGCATACCTCACGCTTCTTCCGTTTGCCCAACAATACAACTCTGTTTTCTGGCAATTCTATCTTGGCCAGTAACTTCCAGATCAAGTCGTTGGTCCAGGTAATTTCAGGTATAGCGATCCCGCTGTCCTTCTTCTTTCTTCCCATGTGAACGATGACAAATGAGTAAGGTAGAACACAATCAACATTGTGGAGAAGGTCAGATTATCTAAGATGGTTGAATCATGTGTGCATGTGCGAGGGGGGTCATGTGCGGTGTGTGAAGTATGCACCTAACTTTGAGTGTCCCTAATGCTGTGTATATGAAGCACTCACCGTGGGTGAGACTATGACAACTATGACACTTCAAATGCCACTTTCAGTCAAGTGCGTGATACCATACTAGTACTATGTCAAGACATTTTATGTAGGTACTTCTAATCAACTGTGTGGAGAAACTATACGAGCGGGAGGTTTTATGACATGCTAGACAAAGGTACAAGTCTCAGTATTCGTTTCGAATCTCTATTAACAAATTTTTGTACCTAGACAAAGGTATGACTACATGTATGTCAGCACTTGTACTCAAATGATACAGTGGGACTTTTACTCATGTCTCAGTATTTGTTTCGAATCTGAGACATTTAGATGAAGGCAGTGTCCTCTTATATGGTGAGTCTGCCAGCAATAACTTTGATGAAAAATATATACTTAAAAAGATGAAAAGATTGCTGACATTGACACATCGTCGATGTTCTCCATTTGGAGACGCTCACACTCAATGTGCTCTATTCTTCGGCCATCATGCCCTTCTTCCCTTCAGCTCTCTCTCGGCCTTACTCTTCTTGGACACATCGGCTCTCAACAAACTGGACAGCCGAAGTCATCTCCTATCAATTTCCTGCTAACCTCTGTCTCATAGGTCGCAGGTTGAGAATTGAAATATCAATGGCATACTACCATTTATTCCCTGTGGTACTCTCTACTACTGTACGTGCATGCCATCATGCATCATGATTCATCACATGTTTTTTGTCCAAAATATATCTTCAAGTTTGCGTTTACACTAGATGTATCCTGGTTTTAGTTTGACAGTCCTATGTCGATGTATCATTCTAGCTGCATGGCCTCGAACTGTCATGAAGTGAAATCGTGATTGAGTAGGGTTACACCACCAGTTGCAGGTTTATCTATGACCAATATTGTGAGAAAACTATTTAGAGGACCCAGCTTGTTCCTAGAATCCTGACTGTAATAAGGGTTTTGTAGACAAATAATGAATTTATGCCATAAAGGTTGTAAATCCAGTGTACAGTGGGGAAATATTTCTGATATTTGGTAAGAATCAGTCATATATTGCACGTATATGACACAGAGTTCATTCAAATATCACATGCACTATATGTGGTGTAGCTTGGGGTGAGTTATGTGTGACATGTTTAGAGATGGGATATCTTGTACATATCCCATCAATATGTTCGCTACCTTTGCCCCTGGCTGCCAGTCACATCTGCAGAAGTTCATCCACCATAGCGTCGCAAAATGGATCTTTTGAGAGTGGTTTTCAACACAAGCATCGTTTGTCTGAGTCAAAGCTCATGTCATTGACATTCTGGTATATAACAAAGAGTTCAACATGTACAGTGTATCATAGGCCCAAACATACTAACACATGTAATGATAGATATGGACATGATGGCATACTCAAGCAAATCGGACAACAAACATTTTGCTATGATATCAGGCCAAGGGAATGAGGGGAAGGGGATAGAAGAGCTCTGTGTTTTTACAAAATTCATTCCAGATATACCTCACTACATTGTCCTGGGCCAGAGCTTCCTCATCAACACTACTATCATTCGAATGCTCTAACCACTGTTCGATGAACGATCCCTCCAGTGGAATACGAGGATCCCACATTGGCCACTTGCCCGTTGGGAAGGACGGATAGGCGCCGACGAATGCCAGCCAGAAAACATCACATCCCCACGTCCACAGTGATGATTCTGTGTCAACTTTGGTAGTGAGCCATTCCTGAATTTGTTGGGAGACTGTCTGCCAATTGGCTCGATTGGTATAGTCAAATGAAGGTGGGAGCAGAAGGAATGATATATTGGTTTCGTTGTCACAGGACAAATCCGACTTTGATGCGATGTAAGTAGGCTGATGTTTAGACAAATGACATGTACACTTACATCGTCCGAGTCCCCTGAACAGTGTAATAGTATGCTACCACGGCAGTGCAAGTCTGGCGATGCGACCTCTATGATTGGTGTGGTGAATATTCCATACTCCTCATCAATACTGATATGCGGATAGGCTAGTATCCACTTGTGAGAAAGCCTGGTGGAAAGTTGAAGACAGCATATTCATACCACATCGCTTCTTTCCAACAGTTGTCTTGGAAATGTCCCAGGAAAGCAGACGGTGAGGCATATTGGTTGGAGTGAAGCATAATTTTCTTGATAATGAATCCCAGGATAAATCATTGAAACTTGGGTGAGTGACAGCACTGAATTCATATTCTGAAGTTGACTGAACAATGATCACCATGAACAGCAAGGCGTGACTTGTGAGAGTTTGGACTTAACAAGATTTTCGAATGTGTCCAGTCACATGACCATCATATCTCACTACTGGTCTCGGTAATATCTGCACAGTGCACACTGTCCTCATTGACTCCTCGACAAATTGTTCAGCATGAAAGACGACATTATTAATGGCTATAGTACATTTACTTTTTGTCATCTCCTCGCTCATTTATCTATGCTACATTATATCTACAGTTTTTCAGTTCTGCAATGACACGTCAAATTGTGTCTTTTGCACTGCGTGCCCTAAAAAATGTGGCATCTATCGTGTCATGGAACGCTGGCATGCTGCAAAGCATGCGAAGCAAGATATTCATATTCGTCGTGCTGGAAATCTCAAGAGAAAGCTTTCTGAGTCCAGACAGCCAAGTATCTATGCTGCAATGTCTGTTGACCCTGATCCTTCACCTTCCCCCGCAAGTCATGATGACTTCAGCATGTATTGTATGGATGATTCACCTGTCAACACGCAAGCTGATGGACCGTCCATGGTGCCCGAAACAACACCACATGATATGGATTCCGAATATTCATTAGCCGATCTCTGGAACAAGATCATCGGCAGTCAAACGCTCCAGCTGGATAACGAATTTCCGGACCTGTTTGCTGAACTGCAGGCGTACATTGCCTCAGGACAAATAGCCATCTCGACGCCCATCGTTCCCACCAACAAGGAGCGCGAGCTTATTGATGACAGCGCACCTGACTTTGGGATTGAAATTCCTGGTGAGTGAACTATTCTGCCTGTGCTCTGTAATCTAATACTCAGAGATATTTGCAGATGACCCACTTCTTGAACCAGCAAGCACCAATTACACTGTCTCCCCAGACCAGCCATTATATCCCTGGCCCTCAAAAGCAGTAGGTATTTTTTGCATATGCATATATAATACATCTAACAACATCAAGCATTTCACCACCTCCCTTCTCTTGAGTTCCCTGCGGCTTCTGTTCTCTGAAGCCCAAAAGAAGGCTGTTTTGAATTGGGCCAAAGAACTTGGTGTCTGAAGCCTTCTGTCACTTAGCGCACTGAAGAAGTGTCAGAGTTCCATGCAGGATCTCATCGGTGATCCCACTGAGAAGGTAACATCTCACTCGGGAAATGTATTCTACATCAATAGTGTTGTGAAAGCAATTGCAAAGGTTCGTGGGATAGATATCTGTGCTGTTGTGATATTAACTTAATTGATAGGACTACGCCAATCCCCTCACTCGCCTCACAATGCAAGACTATCAAGAGGATGGCAGAAAGGGAATGTCAGAAGTGTTCAATGGGAAGAAGATGCTGTTTGATCTCCTGTCGCCACCAGCAGTTCAGGTGGACAGGACTGTGTATTTTATGGACAAATTGTTACAGGAGTCATCAGGAGGCTATTTCATCCCCAAACGATTCTTTCTCGCTGCCGCTGATGCCCCTACTGATACTACCGAACCCTGTGAGCAGTCAGAGAAAGTCCTTTATGCATTGGGTCGAGCCATTGAATGGACGGAGGTATGTGGTCTTTATGTCTATGTAATGTGTGCTTGTACTCAAATTTGTATCAGGCTGGGTTCATTGTTAGTGATGGTGAGGAGATCATACCGACATCTATGTTTCTACGATCATTTGGAGACATTGCCGCAACCTGCGGCGAGCTTGACTGTGGCCTTACGCGTATGTTTTGTTCTGATCTAATTGGTGACTACGAGACTAAAGCATGGTTCAGCATCTTCTGTCAAATATGCGTCGCTTTCACCCAATCTGCTGCGAGAGAACTCAAAAGGTCAAATGGTGCATACTGTCCCCTTAATTATCTTCATGGATGATGTTTCGGGCAATATCTCAAAGTGATGGAATAAACATCACACTATATACATGTCCAATGCAAATCTGCCTTGAGAGATGCTTAAAAGGAGTTTTTTGTGTGATTCATTTCGTCGTCTCCTCACGTGCCGCCCATGGAGTTGATGCGAGCAATGAAAGAGTCCATTTCGTATGTCGTCCTACTCATTGTTTGTATTCTAGTATTGCTAAATGTATGTAGTGATGCAGCACAATCTGGTGTCATAGTGTGGGATTGTAAGTACAATGAAGAGGTCATGCTTGTCCCATATGTGCTATTTCTCACTGGAGATAATCCAATGCAAGCTGAAGAATGCAGTCATGCGGGACTTAGCTGCAACCATTTTTGTAGGACGTGTGACATTGGTGGAACAAAAGAATATAAGGAATCGGAAGCTGGCTACAACGGCATCTTTACAGTATGAAATCACCCTCTGTATCTTCCATATCACTTACTGGTGTTTGTAGTCTGGTAATCTACGAACCCCTGAGAAGACAAGTCAAGAAATTCAACAGCAGTTTCAAATGGCCTTCAAATTGGATGCTACAACAAAAATTCAACATTCAGTCTCGTTAACAGGTGTGCGAGATACAGCTTCAGAAATTGGTCGAACTTGGCATGAAGCTTCGAAAATGTACTGTGGGGTGTCAATCATTGCCCAAAAATGAAGTTGAAGCCACCCTTCGAAAAGAATTCAAAGAACTTTTGAAAGGTGAATGGCTTGATGACACTATCAATCCCTTACTCAGAATGAATGGTGAGTTCTTTTTGTTGTCATAGATATCTCATTTAGCTTCCTACAGGCTTAGATATTCATATGGATACCCCAACTGAGATCCTTCATACAATACTCCTGGGTGTTGTCAAGTATTTTGGGGGCAGATGGCATTTCTTCTTGAGAAAGCAAAGTTCTTCCAGATCTTTCAGTACCGGCTCGAGTCCATCGACAAGGATGGCCTGAATGCTCCTTGTCTAAATGTAAACTATATTTGTCACTACAAAAGTAGTTTGATCGGAAAACATTTCAAAAGTTTGGCGCAAGTTATGCTATTTATTATCCATGACCTCGTTCCTCCAACAGTGCTTAATGCCTGGACAGTGATTGGTGAACTCGTTGTATTGGTCTGGCACACAAGATTTACGGACACAGAAGCATATCTCGTGAGTTCAATTTACATTCTATCTAAAGTGCTTGTCTCATATCCTTGTGAGATAGGCAACACTCTCTCGAACAATCAAAGATTTCTTGAATATCACAGCGCAATGTGCACCAAGTATTCTAATAACAAAACCAAAGTTCCATTTCCTTGTCCATCTACTGGCATACATTCGCCATTTTGGCCCTGCGATTGTCTTTTCAACTGAGCGATACAAATCATTCAATCATGTATTCCAGTTATTGTGTATCTACAGCAACTGACAAGCGCCAAGTAGAGACACTTGCAAGATCTTTTCTCACCAAGATACAGTCAAACACATTGCTACCGGTGGATACTGGTATGATTCTACATTCAAGAAATGAGTCTGTGCAGGACAAAAGGTTCTATCTTATCTTGATGAACATCCTGAACAAGCAAGGCTTCTAGGTATACCAAACTCGAGTCACAGTCCTCCGATACCTGGTAAGTCCAATGGCACACATTATCACTATATTGGCACTAATGATTTACAGGTTCGGGAAAAATCGAAACTGCTACTGCCATTGCAACAGGAAAGTCAGTGCGAAACAATGTGGCCCCATGGGAGACCACTTGTTGCGCAAAGATTCTTGGGACTGTTCAGCCTGGAAGTATGTATTTTGCGGGCAAATCAGTTGTGACAAGTGAAGGTGAATACGCATGTTTGAATAGTTATGTTATATTTCGACAGCCAATGGACAAGAAGGTATGCCAGTATGTTTTCCCTTTTATTGTGATGGCTGCTCACTGATTCCAGCTATATATCGGATGTATTCGTGAGATTCTTGTATCATCCCAGGACAGTCATACTGTGGATCATGTCGCACTCCAGCTTTTTACATTCGCAGCTGCTCTGCACCTGACTCTGCACCTGCCGTGCATCAACCTTACTGATGATGAGATGGTTTCAACTGGTGTAGTACATCATATGTTCTATATGCGCACTGATGGCTCAAGACTCAGATCATTTCACAGGATATTATTTGCGCTGTCAATATCCAACATAATTGCCTCAATTCACAGTGCACAGACATTCATCAATGGCCTGTACATCAAGAATGGATAGACACCTCTTGAACAAAGGCCACCCTCGAGCACAAACCAACCCCCAGTTTTTTTCTCAATGTCTACTCTATCCATAACTACGATCACATCCAACGTGTTGTTCCCATTGCACTTTGTGAGACACTGCTCCGGGTTACCAATGTAGCTGAAGTTCGTGCCATTGCCATACACCAACTATGAGACAAGAGAGTGGCAAAGAAAGGTGGAGACAAGCCTCAACTAGCAGGTAGTGGTGATGGTGTGGATGCTCAACCATCTTTGGCGCCACCTTCTGCCTTTGATCATACTCCGACCAAACCACAGAAGCCTACACCCAAAGCCAAGGCAAAAGCAAGCACAGGTGGTACAAGGACGCAAGGGAAAAAGAAGCCAACAAGCTCTGTCACTATTGCAGGCATGTCTGAGGCAGCACCTTCTCAGCATTTGGGGGCATTACAACAACAGCAAATCGCCTTTGCACCACCAATGGGGGCTCCTCTGCAACACTTTTATTCACCTGCACCCCAACCATACTATCCTCCACATCAGTCTTTCCCTCCACCCCTGCCAATTCCTTCTCTTCCCCTCTTACACTCCTCACCTCTACTTCACCAATCACCATCCTAGCTGTATCACCCTCCCCTACAGTCATATTTTCCATTTCAATCATATGCTCCTCTGCTCCAGCAATCTCATGAGACCACCTCCATCCCTGGACCCTCGAGCTCTTCTTGTGTCCCACCACTGCACCAATTTCAACCCCTGGCATCTCCCACACACTATTCACTGCATGGTGTTTCAGGCTGCTTCCCACAGCCTTATCTTCCCCAAGATTCTCAGGTTCGATACCTACAGAGTCAGCATCACCGCCCTCAATTTGATACAGCACATCCCCAACGAATATGAACACCAAAGGTATCCGCAGTACATATTTTCTACTACAATCCAGCAGTGCGCAACTTCTACTTACAATCCAGCAGTGCATGACTTCTACTTATAATCCAGTGCGCAACTTCTACTTACAATCCAGCAGTGTGCAACTTCGACTTACTATCCAGTGCGCAACTTCTACTTACAATCCAGCAGTGTGCGACTTCTACTTACAATCTGGCAGGGCATGATTTTTACTTACAACCACACAGAAACCCCCAAGCCATTCAAATTGGGTTGTATGGAAGAGGCCTGGCTGCGCTCAAATTTGATATGAATTCAGCCTATTATGAATATTCATTTTTGTTGCGCCAAGAAGATTACTATAATGGCAGTGATTATCTCTTCCCTCTTGTCACCCTCCTCCCAGCCCTTTCTCCAGCTTGCACTTATTCCAATTATTGTTTAATACTCTATCTCTACCACTTTCATGGGCTTGAGTGCACTGGATGCATCTTGGGAAAATCTGGGTGACTGAATTGATGCAAGTGAAGAAGTGAGGATTTAATTTCATCAGCCACTGAGCCACCCCAAACCTCACCTTGAGCAGAACAGTGAAGTGCTCCTGCGCAGTGCATCCACGTCCACGTCCCACCATCATGATACTCCAATGCTATCCTGTACAGACCAGTTCAGGTCCAAGAAGCACCCCACATTCAGTAAACAGTCTGTTGACACCACCTGTCACTGTGTCTCGAGGCAGGAGCCATTCGACTTCTGCATCTCGACCTCCTTCAGTGTCCGGATCTGTAGGACATATCAGTCGTGCACGCTCACCACTTTCCCAGACCATGACTGTCAATCAAATGTAAGTGTTCCCTTGATGCTATCATGAATCATCATCTCTGATGCATCTTTAGACCGGAGGAATTGCCTATATGCTCATCAATATCAAGGCCACCTTGATAATGTTGAGCGTGGCGAACAGAAAGTCTCTCCTCGTAGAAATCAAAGAATTAATAGAATCAAAAGATTTCAAGGTATGAGTGTCTAACTGTGATCTACTGCCGACTCCAAATTTATCACACATGACACAGTCAGGTCTTCAGAACCGCCTCACAGCATGTGTGCTATCGCCCAATCTCACTGCATATGTCAATGACACGCTTGAACATGTCATGGTACCTTCAATATTCTTGTGGACAAAAGTACCAGCTGAAAACTACGACAGGAATTTATGAAGAACAACAACGAGATATTCAAGGTCCCGAAGTTCCTGTTTGAAGACATTGAGCTCACCGCACAATTATCAAAACTTGTCAGTGAAGCACTTTTGTGCATCTGTGGCAACGTCAAGACTAAGGTAAGTGTTGCCGAAATACTTCACAGAATAATATTAAGCTTAATCCAGCTGATGTTGTCGATCTTAAAATGCTCAAGTATCATTGACACTGCAAGATCATTAGCCCACAGCTGCCTAGAGGTTGATGCATCACATTGGAATAGATACACATTTTTGGTATGGCCTCCCTCTCCTGACTGTCTAATGTTTTCACTGACAATACTCCATGGCAGTGGTGCTGCTTGCGCATTTTTCTTATCAGAACCGGTAACTACAAGACTATACCTCTGAAGGATCTTTATTCTGCGTCGCTCCTTCCGTCTCTCCACCAGGACCTTCATATCAAAGTCGGTAATGCACTTGGCATCAATGTCGAGTTGGATGACCTCGACCTCGACCCCATGACGCAAGATGGTGCCAATCAAGTCCATGAGAGCAGTGCGGACAGTACGGGAGGCCATGAAGGCACCACAGATAATATGGAAGGTGGAGACAAAGATGATGGAGATGACAACCAAGATGACCTCAAGGGCAATGTGTCCAGCACAACAGAACTTGACCCTGATGACTCAGGATTCGGGGGAAATGGAAAGCGTGCTATTTTCACCTCTACTAAATTTTGAAAGTTTGTGGATGCGTCACTCGAGAGTGTTCGCAAAATGGCAAAGGCAGACGCAGAGGAACTTGATGATGGGATGCCGGTTGAGAATATTATTCAAAAGTAAGTTCCTTGCTACTTCACTCTTCATGCAGCTCATTATTGCAAAGCATCCTGGTTGAATATTTTCAACAAGAACTTGCTGAATTCCCAGGGAGGAGGACCGTTCTGAAACTTCTTTCTAGCACCAATCCCCAGTGGCAGATGAAGATCCAGACTGATTTACTTTGGCAGTGAATCAACTGGCCGCTCGCTCCTGCTGTATATTATTTATATGTACATATCACACTTCATAATCTAGCTCATAATACAATGTCTTTCACTGCTTTTCTGTCTGGCAAGGTGCATATTCAATATCATTGCACACAATATATGATTTATGTCTGGCTAATCTTGACTCGAGATATATACGACCTATTGAGTTCAATATCTATCCAAGGTATGGGATAACATATCTGTGAGAGGTGTAGTATGCGATATATTCGAGATAAATTAACTCAATACTCATAATAGCTCTGGTTTTAAATATACCTAAAGTATCTTCCCCGACTCCCATGGTTAGTGGGAGGAGGGTTTTGTCAGATGCAAATGACCATTTTTTCTGTTAAAAACATGTTGTGGGAAAGTGCTGACCAATATCCTATTTGTCACCTGGCTTGGCATGTAGTCTACACCAAATCCTCTTTGTCCGTCAAATAAACCCTCATGATAACTTATGGTCTTCACCAATGTGACTGCGCAAACTTGAAACTTGCTAAAGTTGAGTCTGTCCTCCCAATTAGCTCCATGTAATTGTGGCATATCCACTCATACTGGTGTTGGTCTGGGTGGTATTCACGGGTCGATCGAACAAAGTGTCCATGCCATCTAAAGTGAGAGACACGATCGATCTTCTTGAAAGTTCATCGAAGGAGCCTTGCTGTCTTTCGTGTATCTGATGTCTGCACCTTGCACATCAATTTTCGTTCATCCTCTAGGTATTCTCCGACTAATTTGACATATGTCTCATTTGTATATTGGAACAAATAGACCATAACTGGGCGTGTTCATTGTAGTTTTCTATGCTAATGTGCCATAATGTAATGCACTGCTTGCTTTTTCAGTCTCGATCAGGATCACCAGATTTCTGGAGCATACCTTGATATCAGGAAATTGGCCATGAGCTGGTCCTGTTTTGTCATATCCATGATGGCATTTGGAGTGTCTCGTGTTTGCTTGACAACTACCACACTCCCATGAAGTGTTTTGCAACTGCCGCTCATGCTACCCATTCTTCTGAGGAGGTAGCTTGGCTGCATCGAAGGCTGACATCTTTCAAAGTACAATGTATACTTTTCATCCATGGTCACATTGGACCCGGGCACTCTACTGAATGTGCGACGAAGGTGGCGCCGCATCACTGTGCATTCATACAGATCCCGCTGTTTCACCCAATAGTTGATGTCGAGGTCATCCAGTGTGGGGTACTATCCACCCCATCTCGGACTGGGATGGGCACGAGGAACAGCCAGTTGCAGCCTGCTCCATAGAATATGCCCTTGATTAGTTGCATAAACTGCTGGTGGAGTTTTGACGTTGGCATCATCTGTCAAGTGCCCATATCCTTGCTCACCGGTTTGCGACATCATATTTCAGGCGGGATGAATTTGACATCATCACCTATTTTGTCATGTCAGTCCTTCTTTCCTCCTGTTTTCATGTTTGAGATGGTACTCACAGTTGCAAGCACCAACACCTTTGAAGTTCTGAGACATTACCTCTACATGATGTGAACATTTTTGATTTGTGTACACCATGTTCAACTGCCATTCAATGTTGACATTGTGGAACATGTTGGTCACGGAATCTTCTGCATTCCAATTGATGGATGACTGCAGGTGTTTCTCCTTGACATGATGCCAGTATGTAGGACACAGATTCCCACAGGCCGTCCCTGTCTCCACCTCAAACTCATCAATCAGTTCACCAGCACACCCCAATTTTGCAGTTTCTGGGACTAAATTTCCAGTGCAGCTTTGGATCGCCAACCCGGCTTCAAACCATTGGGGATAGAAGTAACATACACCTCCGGTGGTCATGAACAGCATATCTGTGGTCATTGGGGCATTGATAATGATATGCAGAACACTCTTCCCTTCATGTGATGCAGACACTGTAATGATTCGCTCATGCCAGGCATATCTGCAAAATCTGCTGATCCTAGGTGCCAGGGCTGGATGAGGCACACTTGAGATGAGAGTAAATCCCAACATGTCCTCCAGAGCTCCATGTAAGGAGTCAAATGCTTTGTATGGGACAATGATGTTGAGATCCCTTCTAATGTAGTCCTCGTCATATTTCACCATGGCCTGTACAGTAGAACCTGTTATCACACCTCCAGCATCCTTCAGGGCTGAGAGGAAACTCGACAAATGATCCCTTGTGAATGGTCCCAACAGCCGCATCAATCTTCCCTGAACCACCTCATGGGCCAACACTCTCATGCACCAACAAGTACGGCTGATTGCGACTATATCCGATATCCTCAGGCTGTCCAGAATGGTTGTAGTCACATTGTGGTTCTGAAATACTATGGTGGAGATGAGTGTAAGCGACACAACTCAACAGGCCTCCTACTTTGCATCCTCCCAGGGACTCTCAGCAGACTGTCGGTCGAGAGTGGGGATATACTACTTGTCATTGTCGGTAGACAAGCGGCTGCAATGTGTCACTGACAAAGAGAATTCAACAATTGGCTTTGGCTGTGTGCTGTGCGATCGGACTAACTGAAACACTTTGGACTTTTCACATGTGAAAAGTTGAAACCTGGGCACGATCATTTAAGAACAGGCCCTCAGTGAGTCTGTCTGCGCCTTCCTTACCTTATGTCAGTTCCAATACACTAACCCATGTTATCCCACTCCTTCGTTTGGCCTCTGTTCTCGCCAGTGAGTTATCATACTTTGCCTGACCACCGCTGACACCCAAATTTACCCTTCTCCTAGAGGTCAATGTGTGCATTTATGACCAAAAAACTGTGTGTTGTCACATGTGTTTTGGACGTCCATGATTGTCCACCTCATGATGTTATTCATCTTGTTGAAACCTACCCACTCTACTATGATGCATTATTGTTACGACAGTGAGTCGTGTATGGACTGGGATGATCTAACAGCGACGATCACGACAGTGATACCTCGTGCTGAGAGTCCAAGAGCGGCTCCTACAGACAAGCAGGGGTTGCGTATGCTAGCAGAGGCGAGCAATGATAGCGGTTACAGGCAGAAGGGGTCTCAAGTCCTTCTGAAGGTACAGATCAGATGTCGAGCAAGTAGCTTTAGCAAGACAAGTGGTTCAAGGTAAAACCCAGTAAGATTAAAGTAAGGAACATCTACTTTAATTGTCGACCTTATATAAGGCTACTTCATTGTATCTAAGCTCAGCTTGAAGCTGGGTTCTAATCTGCTTATCTATTGAGTCAGAGATACCATGCATGAGGCAGGCTTCTATCTAGGATAAGGACCATGAGGCGTCCTTCTATCAGTGCATGAGGCAACCATGAGGCTTGCCTTCTATCTTGATATCATAAATAGGTCTTCTAGACCTATGTCGTCATATGGGGTCCAGACCACTTATCTAAGCCGGCATCTTCTGGGCTTCTCTTCTTCTGTTTTCTATCATCATGGCCTAAAGGCCTGGGTATCGTGTTGTTGCCATGCAAGGTGGCAGAGGGTATATCGATAGCTGGGGGCTCATGCCATGTTACTGTAACAATTATATTTTCCTGAACTACACCCAACCGTTTATGCCTCACATGGTTTCTGCTCATGGTTATGCAGTGCCCTAAGTTCTCACCTTTGCCATTGTCAGACTCACACTCTATTCCCCCCCGAACTGTCTGTCACATTTGAGGATGCCACTTTTTGTGTTGAACTTGTGGGTGAGCAGAGGTTTTTTCACCGTTGAGACTTTGAATGTGAAACATACACCCATTGCACTGTCTTTTGAGTGTTCGGTGTGGATCAGCCTGAAGCCCCCACTGCAGTCTCATCTGCTGTTTTGCAATCACATCATGACCCTCCATGGTTTCTTCACCCTTACACATTCTATGAAGCAAATTTGCACACCCTGTCGCTTTCACTTTTGACGACTACTGCACAAAAGTTCATTTGCAGGATTTCTGATGCTCGCACAAAGAGTGCTGCAATCTCTGTGATACTGTCACATTTCTTGTTGAGATGTGCTGAGTTGTCTTTGCTCTCTAATGATTTGTTGTCGGAGGAATTTGCAGACCTATGTTTGCCCCCTGGGAGTCCCAGGATGCACTGTAGAGACTTGCGTGTCTCAATGCCGAGTATGCGGCCCTTATCCATACATTCCTATATGATCCAGCTCTAATCCAAAGGACCAGTCTCACGCGCACTCGTGCACCTTAGGTACACTCACGTGCACTCAGGCGCACCTTACCTGCGCTCGCGCTATGCACAATTCGCGTGCGTGTTCGTGCGCCTCCTCCTAGGTCTTCGCGCTACCGTCCGTCCATTTGTCTCATGTCCTTACTGATTTGCTGGTGCGTTATTTCTATCTCATTCATTGAACTAACAAAATCTTTGGTCCGATGTCCGCGCTACATATAGAAAGTCTATTTAAACTTAGTTATAACTAGAGTTGATATAGTTACTCGGTTCGCAAGCGTGCCACATAGCAAAATCTCCCTTCTAAAATACAGAGGGATTCTGTTTGGTTCTGGTACTTACTTTCTCCTTATCTGTTACGCACTCAAATAGATCTGTTAGGCAGAGCCCTAAGAGGGGCGTCGTCTGCTAATGTTCGTGACATAACCAGAAGGATCCGGTGTAGCGACTGAGACTGGCGACGTCGAGTTGGCAGATATCAGAGACGCACGTGTCACGTGACTTCTAAGATGGATGTCTTCGAAGTCACTGATGTTCTCAAAGTAAGGACTGTCTTGTCCGAACGATGAGTAGTCGATTGAGATGGACTTAGGCACGATGAGCACCTAAGAAAAGATACTAGAGACTGAAGCTGAGGGGGCTTCAGAGGGAAGTATGTTCGAGGGAAGATTGAGTAGATTCAAGTTAGGGAATCTAGTACAAGGTGACTGACTACTTATACTAAGTGGAAAGGGTTAAGGGCAAGGCTACCGTACTGTAGGTAAGGGCAAAGGGGAAACGGAAAGGGTATAGGTACAATGGCAGCATAGCCTGATTAGTGATGGGAGGTCAAATGCGGAATGAGACTGAGAAATGTTGGAACGAACCAACGGTAAGAGATACAATGCGCAGCACGCATGAGTCGGATAAGAGATCAGGGAAAGCCACATTGGTGGCACGAGTCAGAACGAGTTATAGCCCGAAGGCACATGCACACATTGGTGCGATAGGAGGGAGGCGAGAGATGGGGACGGTCCCAAGGATCCGATCAACGGATAGTCGGTGAAGGAGTACGAGCCGGAGGAAGGTGAGGATGAGGATGAAGGGAAAAATGATAGGGGGCCAAGTAGCTGATGTTACTTGTAACATTATCTCTGGGTACTGGAAAGTGTATAGATCACCTCCCTGCTTGAAATCAGATCATATCCTTCAATCAACTATCATCTGAGCATCCACTCCTCATTAAGGATCCTTTCCCTTAATGCTCTGAGCATGCCATCGCTTTGCGTGCGCGCATTCTCGAACCTCCCACTCACGCGCGCATCTCACGTGCCTTCGCGCAAGTTACCTTCTCGTGCCTGTTAGTGCCCACCTAGCTCATAGAGTTTTCCTCCATTTTTATTCCAAGGAACTTCTCTCAGTGGTTGTCCTTTGGGTTGAGTCGTTGTCTCGTATCCTGGTCTTGCTGTAGAGCACCCATTAGTTTTAAGTGTTTTCACCTATAGCCAAGATTCCTCTCCTACAACTGGAGCCCACTGTGAGGGACACTTCTGAGATAGAGGGTCAGCGCCTCAGACCCAACAGTTGCCACAGAGCTAGAGAAGAAGCCATCACCATGTTCGACAGAGCAGTTGAATCCATTATACCAGGACCCTTATTCGTTCATCACTCGCTCGGTCGTTCGCGCAATATATCAGAACCACCGCGACCAGATCTATCGCTCTTAGCGCGCTTGCCTAGACATCTGATATCGCCAGTCACACCCTCGCCTGAAGAATCATCCGACGACTTCGAAGCAATAGATAACCCAAGAAGCCAACTTCCAGGAACATTTCTCCACATGCCCAATCAACCTCCTTTTAATTCTTCTAACCTGTCAGTGCTAAGTGTGCTAACTGAGCTTAACGACTCTAGTGACACTCCATTTAACGCGCAAGTAGTCTCTGCACGTAAGAACACACTTCCTACAACGGGAATCCCGAAAATCAAGCAAGAAGCCTTAGCAACCCCATGCGCGCCATTCTCAATTCCAGGTGGTACCGTTATAGCTAACCTTCCCTTTGCATACATGCGCCAAGCACCTGTCAATCACAAGATCCCCGCGCCTGCAATTTCCCAACTGCCTGTCATGTCTGCAGTAAGAACCAGAATGCCTGTCCGGGGAACAATGGACATGCCTAAATTCGATGGTACAACCGACAACCTCGCCGACTTTATTGACCTATACGAGCAGCTCGCTGACGAAGTAGGTCTACAAGGACTCAATAGTATCAAGGGTATCATCCGCTACCTTGAACGCGATGACCGAGAATTATGGGGAGGAACGCCTGAAGCACAAGTAAGCGATTACAACACCTTCTTAGATGAGGTGAAGGTAATGTATCCCGGATGGGATGGCAAAAGGCGCTACACGCTTTCAGATCTACAAGCCATCGCGCATGAATACTCAAACAAGATGATGCCCTCGTACCAGGAGTTAAGCAACTACCTTCGAGCCTTCAAGAAAGTCATGCAACCACTATTGGCAGAAGATCACATTGGTAAAGCCGAGCACAATCGCATATTCATGGAAGGGATTCCCAAGGATGCTCAGGCGCTAATACGTATGCACCTCATGATTAAAATTCCAGATCACTACCCACAGGATCTATACCCGTTCATGGACGTCTTTACAGCTGGACATTTCGTACTGCCCACAAATGCACCTGCAGCAAGCGCGACACCTAGCGCGCCTACGGCAGCGTCATTCACTAACCTAGTCACAGCTACCACATCAGCGCAATTGCCCACACAAGGTACAGTAACCAAGTGCAAATATAAGTGCGATGCGCCAACATTCAATGACTGCGCCTTTTGCAGCAGTCTCGAACACTACTACCCTCATTGTGCAGAGAAACAAAGGTATATTGACGCGGGTAAATGTAAGGTTAGCGAAGAGACGTGCAAGCTTGTGTTGCCAAATGGCGAGTGGATTCCGGGCCAGGGATTACTCAAGGAACGACTAGATCGACATCACGCAAGTCGCGCAATGCCGGATACGACTGCTAGCGCAGGCGCGACAGTGAGACTATTCTATCACGTGTCCGACGAGATTGACGCAGTAATTGAAGTAGGCTCGTCTGCGTTTGTGCACACAGTCGCACAAACGGAACTCAATGAGGACAATGAGACGGTGGATCTTATGACTGAAGCGATAGCCTATGTAGCTGTGAGGCGCGACCAGAAGCGCAATGCCAAAGGTAAAAATGTCCGCTTCGATGGTGTCAAAATACTGCGCATCCGAGACCTGCATCTAGGCAAGCCATGGTAGAGGAGGAGATAATCTCTCCCGAAATACAAGCTTCGTCTGACAAAGGTAAAGGAAAAGAGGTTGCGAAAGTAGCACCGTTAAGCATGCCAATAAGCGCACCAACAAGCGCCAAGATGCCTCCTAAAGGTGCTTTGCCTTCATCGACAATATCATCATCATCCACACCATTATCATCATCATCATCATCTCCTTCACAATCTTCAGCATTGCCATCATCATCGCCAGCCCAAGCACCAGCACAGTCATCGTCATATCGTTATGCATTCGCACTTGAGGACAAGGAGGCCAACAAACGTGTTGTCAAGTGCCTTCTCGAT